TATTAAGACCAAAAGCTTGTCAATTTTTAAGAGTTAAAAAAAAACACTTGTCAATTTCCATGAATAGTCAAAGTATAAATGTAATATTAAAAATTAAAAGGGTAATTACTTATTTTCTTAAAAACTAATGAAGATACATGGAGGCTACAAATGAGTGTCAGGTGGATCATTTAAACATTTAAGCAACAAAAAATTTATAGCTGCCACTTCGATTATCTAACATCACAATTTGTCGGAAAAAAAACATAACAACCTCATAATTGGAGAATTTGCAACTACAACTTCCATTATTTGACACAAAGACAATTTTAGTCTTTACATTTTTTTTTCTTTGGCTAAGGATCACCGTTATCACATCTCGAATTTTGGTATTTTACCAAAATTAGCCTGAAATGGGCAAGCTATCAGATTTTTTGGCAGAGGGCCCATAGGTTTCCTAGAGGGATAGAAGGATTCTCGGGGACCAAATTGCAAAGCAAGAGTTTGTTTGGACTGAGAAAAGAGAAAGTTAGAAACTCTAATGAAGTCTAAAGACCTAGGAATGAGAAATAGTGATAAATGTAGGCCAAAGATTATGTTGGAGGCCTTAATGAGGTGAATTATGGGGTTAAGTCAAATCAGGAGAAAAATCATAATTTTATAAAGTTTCAGGCCAGTGTAAGGCAAAAAATAGAAATATGCTCAAAAATCCCAAAAAAAATCCTACAAAATGGGAAATGGCATGTGAAGGCCTATGTGAAGAAAAATTACAAAAATGCTCTTAGATTGAATTTAAATAAATTTTAAAGATTATGGCTCATTTGAGGTATAAAGCTAGATTAATTATTTAAGTCATGAGGAGGCCTCAGAAATGTAAGTAAAAATGGGGATTTATGAGTTAAGAGGCTACAAAAATTTATAAAATTAGTCTCATCCCCCAGAGGCCAGTGGAATGACTTTAAGAATATTTAAAAGCCAGCTATGCTAAAAAAGAGCAATTTACAAGGAAAAAAAAGAAATGCCTACGGATCGAGTTATGGAGTAAGAAAATTCATAGATTTTTTCCAGAATTTAAGGAATTTGATGGTGTTTTGGATAATTTTTTGAAACTCTGGATTGAATAAAATACTCCAGTCAAATATTAAATAATTTTTGTCCCCTAAATAGGAGGACAAAACCAAAGAAAATATCTAAAGGCCATTATGACAGCGCTAAGTCAGCATGCTGAGTCGCCAAGTGCAATTATGACACTTCTGAGTCAGCATGCTGAGTCATTAGAAGATATTTATGGATAGCATAAAAACAGAATGCAATACGGGTACATTTTAGACAGTTCTTTATCTACCTGTTATAGTGGAATCTCTAATGTGTGGGTTAGTAAGGCTAAGTAGCCTGTCAGTGTGAAGCTAATTATTTTCTTCTATGATCCTCTAAAGTGACACCATATGTGTACTTAATTAAGATGAGAAAATGTGCCAGAACATGTCCAATGGTATAAGGTAAGTCAAGGCCCGAAAAAAGTACTGATACGATGCAAAATGACAAAATAGGTGAAGAAGGAATACTTAAAGGCTATGTTCTGCAGGAAATTTATATTAATTTTCTCCCTATTTTAATGCAAAAATAACAAAGGGACATGGAAGAGACAAGTATATGATTAGATGAAAGACAAGTGTACGGTTAGATAGAAGAGACACGTGTATGATCAGATGCCAAGACATGTGTACGGTCGGATACAAAACCATATACAGTTGGATTAAAAGCATGTGACCTGATTATGTAAGTATCATGTAAGCATGATGAGGTAAAAATAATGTCATAAGGACACTTGCCACTACAAGACAAAGAGGGAAAAATGAATGGCTAAGATTTAATCTTGCAATTTTAAGATCAATGGCCAGGATTTGTTCTTAAATTCTATAAATACCCCTCCCCCTCCCCTCATTTCGTCCAAGAGCTCATGAAACCTTAGGAAAACTCTTGCAAAATGAATTCTAAAAAGAGAAAGAAGAGGGGAGAGAAAGACAAGTAATCCCATACAAGATCAAGCTAAAACAAGGTATGTTCTTGGTTTTGATATAGTTTTCACTACCCTTGTTGTTGTTGAGCTTGGTTATGGATTTTAATGATTTTGAGAGCTTGAAACCCTAGGAGGGTATGCTGCATGAAATTCTAAGTTAAAAGAAAGATGAAATTAGTGTTAGATTAAGAATAACTTGAACTTGAAAAGGAGCAAGAATCAAGTGATTCTAAATTTGTATTAATTGAATTCCATGACTTTGGAACCAAAGAGGAGCCACGGCTTGATTGGTTCTTGTGCCTAGGATGTGATTTTGTGATTTAAAGCTTCCAATGGATTTAGAATAGAAATCTTGTGCCTAGGATGTGATTTGTTGATTCTAAAGCTTCCAATGGATTTAGAATAGAAAATTGTGTAAGAACAAGATGAAAGAATGGAGTTGGAAGCATTGGAATCAAAACTTGAAATTTAAGTAGCAGATTTCGGTTTTGGCCCAGAACTAGGGGAAGGAGTATGATTTTGATAAATCTAAACTCATATTTGGATCCCTTGGACAAAATTGTGTAGGATTGGCCTAAGAAAACAATTTTACAAAGCTATAACATTGTATTATAAATAAGGAAAAGAGATCAAGTTTAAGGACTAAGTCTTTCACACTGTGTAATTCTTGGTATTGGTGAGTAATGTGATTCTTGTGGCTGTGATTAGGACCTTGAGACATCTAAAAGAAGATTTGGATATGGTTGACTGAAAGCTAGATGGGTTGGGAAGCTTAGGGAGCAAGTTGAAGAACAAGAGAAAAACTTATAGTGCAAGGTAGCAAACTTTACCCTACTTTATGTACTTGGTATTTACTTGCATGTATGATATGTTTCTATGTTTATATGATTTTATGAAAATCATGCATTATGGTTGTGAATATGTTTGAAATATGCCATGAGCCTATGTGTTTTATGATAAATGCATGATAATTTCCAAACATATCATTATGTTACAAAGATATTAAGTTGCAAGCATATATAAATGCCAAGCTTGCCATATATGTTTGGGGGTTATTGTTTGCTATTGAGATTCTCTCAAATATCATCCCTCCCTAACTAACCATTTAGGTCAATCAATGATGGAGAATGATTGCATGACGAAGAGCATGAGAAGAAAGGAGAAGAAAGTGGAGAATTATTGATATTAATGATTGGTTAAAGATTTATATTATACAGTTTTCCATTATTATGTAAATTATGTATATGAATGTCAATGATGCAATGTATTTATTTAGATTGTTATGGAATGAATAGAAATGTATAAAAAATGGGAAGTAAGATTTGGTTAAGGGATAAAACGTAGGTCCTAGAGCAGTTAGCTTCCTGCTCTAATTTGACCTTGGCAGACATATGGTACACATCCCAAGCTTTAAAATGAGAAGTAAATCACCTCAATTGGATGTGTATACTAAAAGATAGGAATTTCCAAAATTAGGGTAAGAAACCTGAAAGTTTCATAATTTACCAAATGAACAGTAATATTTACATATAAACCATATTGAATTGGCTTGAGATAAGTTAGTTATTTTTTTTTTTTTCCTTGAAGAGCATTGAAAGAGCTTCAAATAGAAATTTGAAGCACCTCTATACAATTTTGTAGAATTAATTATAATTTTTTAAAGTTGGACCAAAAATATGAAATTTAATCAATGGACAATAACCCGAAAAAAACCAATTACAAAGTTTCAATCTATAGGCTTGTTTCGTGAATCACTTGAATCAGAACACTTCCAAATACGTATTCTGAGGGGGTTAAAAGAAGGATGTTTCAACTAAGCCTTCATAATAATTTCACATGTTCATGTTCCACCAAAAACTTCTCTTTCATGAACATGAGCATCAAACCCCCCCCCAAAAAAAAGCCTAATTTATTAGCACTGTTGACAAATATTTTTGAAAGATTTAAAATGTTCTTTAGTAATTAAAATTTTATTTACCAATTTACCCCTAATAGCCCAATCCCTAATCCTCAATTCCTCTTTATGTCACCCCGCGCCGTTTCTTTTCTCATTCTTCCATGGGTCGTCTTAGCTAGTCCCTTTGTCAAGTTCATATTTTTCAACATCAATATAAATTAATATTTACATTGTAAAACTTATTGGTTACTATCTCTGGTTCTTAGTATAAGAGTTGTTTAGCTTTTATTTTGGTCCTAAATATAAGACTCTAATATATTGTTATCTATCATATTTATCTATTTTTTTCAAGATAGTCTTTATAATAATGATAGTTTAACCAATAGACTTAATTAGTAAGAATATTTTAGAAAAACATCTATTTATCACAAATAACAAAACTTAACTAATTTTTTTAATCTACTTTAAATCAGTCAACTAGTTTTTATATTAAATATCAGAAGTAGTAGTATAATTTAGCTGCATGGCGTGAGAGGATCATGTTTCAACGCATAAAGCCCGCTCATCTAAACTTTTCGTGAGGCTTGTTTAAATTTTTAAAAATAATTAAAATTAGAGAGAGAAAAATCTGATTTATGAGACGCTACCTTGATAATTTCTGAGGATAACCAAATGCGATAGGTAGAAGAGAATATCGCAAGAATATGAAAATCCACAAAGACATCATAAATTAAGATAAATAATAAATAATTTACAACGATAATTTTTATAAAATATTATATAATATAAGTGGATATCCATAATCCACATTAATATACTAGTATCTCCACTATCTCATTATATCTTCTAATATCATCAATGATTTCACAATTATATATCTTGATTAGGTTTATGGACCCACGCTCATAAATAAAGGGCACAGTAGCAACATAGGAAAAGTTTCTCATGTTCTTCATATCATCTCAGTTATTTCAATCAGACTCAGTTTGAGACCAGGGCCACGGATCAGAACCAGCAACGCAAAGGGACGGTTATGAATTGAGGCAGAAACTGAAAGAATCAATTACAAAACAGATGATGAAGGTGAAGAAAGGAAGAGAAAGCTTCCTTACGACGATAATTATGGCTCTCTTTTTGGCCCTTCAATCTGTTATTGCACAAAGAATCATTCAAGAGAGCAAGTCATTATTATGTTACAAAACCAGCATTTGGCATCAAAGCTTTCTAACAAGCGGCACGAGAATGAAAACACAGTGTCCAAATCTGAACTTCATAATCGGCTACCCAGAGTCAGTGACTGAGGTGAAGCTTAAAATACAGAAACTAAGAATTTGATGTTGGTATGGTGAAAGAGCAAATTTGGGATTTTTTCTGCCACAACGCTAGAAATAATCTTCCATGGTCTTGATCCAGCCAATCGCAAAGCAACTTACAGTGGAATCCTTCATTTCATCAAAACCAAATCCAGAACTTTCTTTTGGTAAAAGAAAAATAAAAGACAGACTTTATATTCTTACCCAAAAATTGACGAAGCTTAAAATACAGAAAACTAAGAATTTGATGTTGGTATGGTGAAGAGTTGGTATGGTGAATTTGGGATTTTCTTCCCCACAACGCTAGAAATAATCTTCCATGGTCTTGATCCAGCCAATCGCAAAGCAACTTACAGTGGAATCCTTCATTCTCATCAAACCAAATCCAGAACTTTCTTTTGGTAAAAGAAAATAAAAGACAGACTTTATATTCTTACCCAAAAATTGACTTTTCTAGTTTTTCGAAGTGAGCAGAGTAATACATAAGGTTCCCTTCTATACCAAAAAGTCTTCAGCAGGTTGTACAGGCTCTGAAGGAGTCAATGAGAACATCTTCTCTCAGATTATGACCTGTGAATCCCATGATATTATCAGTCCATAAACAATCAGGAAAAAGCATTCACTTTCATACGTTTGTGCTTACATCAGAAAAATCTAATAATATTATTACCTATAAAGACTATCTTATTTATCTGATTTTCTTCTTTTCCCCACAGGCGAGTTGGTACAATATCATATAATTCTCTCACCCCCTGCAAGATTTTCAGAGATAAAGGATTTGAGATTAGCACTCGAAACAAAACTTGTGTAACAGGGATTAACTTCCTTAACTCAAACTTTGGATAAAAAATTCAGAATAAATAACATATGATGGATTATACAGAACCCTGTATCCGTGTAGGATACTAGGTTTCTGAATCTCTAGGCTTGTCAGTTGCGTTAGACAATGCAGAACACAAGTGATAGACCTTGCTTTCTCCTAGTGTGCATATGATATAAAAGTTCTTACAAATACTATTAATGAGTCTATCACGTAAGTTCAGTAGTTGATGACCAATTCTCCCATGGATCATAATTGTAATGAGAACTTGAAAGGAAACACCCAAGAGATGCATTCATTTCATTCCTGACAGTTAATCTTAGAGTTGAGCACAATCAACCCAACAAGAGAGAATAAAAAGAACTTAGCTTTCTATGTCGTAGACCCTGTACTCCTGTAGTACAATATAACTTCTGGAGAAACCTCAAGACCATGAAGTATGATAATTACGAGTTACCTGCAAAGTATGCAGTTGATCAGAATTTTCTACGCTCAGAACTCCTTTGCAGCGATATACATCCATATCATATTTCTTCTCCCAGAGAATCTCCTCAAGCCATGTCCGAGCCTGTCAATGTGGAGCAATATACACAGCATTAAGTGGAGAGTGTGAAAACTTTATTAAATAAACAAAATAATGATGTGATGATCATATCATTTCCTGTTTTGTTTAAAGACAAACAACAAATCGGAGTTTCAACTGAAAGGAAATGGAGTATCCTAGTTGGATAGCAGACACAAGACCCAAAAAAAAAAAAAAAAAAGACGCCCTATTTATTAGCCTTCCTATTAAAATGTATAAAGTACTGCTCATCACAAAATACACAATGATGCTAGAAACCACATAAGAAGAAAATTCAAAGGACTAATTACATATCAAGTAACTGACAAAAACATGATGCGTTACACACACACAAAAGCCTACCTTTTCAAGATCAACTTTCTGTGACTCACAAATGCATATAGTTCTCACACCACTATCATGAAGCTTCTTGGAGGACAAGGAACGGCTTTCTTCTAATAATTGCTCTAAATGTGAAGCATGCTGAAATTAGAGAGCGGCAAAGGTAATGTTACTAGAATGTACTTGCGAAAGATCTCAGCAAAAATATCAAATATGGACGAAGAACAAAAGTGTGTATGGTTAACTGCAGAATCATAAGCTTGGCGGTTCAATATCTTTGACAAATCAACTTGACAGCGGACAGAATGAATTATCTCAGCAAGGGAGTTAATGTTATGAATTTCCTCCTCAAGCCCATCCAAAATGCTTCCAGAACCCTCTGGAGAGACCAAATCAACCTTGTTAAGAATTATAATATCCTAAAACAAAGAGCGAAGTTATTAGCTCAACAGTGCTCAACCCACTATGTTGTATACACATTCAGAAAGAAAACCATGAGAATTGGTAGAAACATTTGATCAATAAGAATCAGAAAGATCCTGCATATTTTGGTCAGGCACTGATAAACTAGCCGGCAAAATTTAGTTATGCACTAAACATATACCGCAAATGCTATCTGAAAGTATGCTTCAGGAAACGACGATGATGAACCACGATGCTCAGCAAGCTGGAAACGAAGGTTTTTGGCATCCACCACCTGATTGATCAGAAACTTCACTTAAAAACAAATGCACACGCATACACTAGCAATTTAAAAGTATCTATTCATGCAAAGGAAGAATGGTAAATTAAACCATTCTTTGCCGCACATGTTTTCACCAACCAAGAAATGAATAGTCTTGAAATATTTAGCTACATACTAGCAGCACTCAAGTGAAAGCAACTCTAACAAAGTTGAAATAAAAGATGTGAAAATACTTTTACTGAAATCCATCCCAAGAAATATACTTACAGTGATGATAGAATCAAGCTTTACTGCTGATTCCAACTGTTCATCCAACCATAGGACAGATGCCAACGGTGCTGGGTTTGCCAATCCTGTAGTCTCTAGCAATATATGATCGAGTCTTGATCACAACAATAAAATATGCATAGCTCAATTTCCAATATACGGCAATAATGGTCAAAAATGCAAATTAGTAATTAGCAATTAGCAATTTCTACAATATGAAGATGGTACTGCTCTCGACTGCGTCATTTCATTCAATAAAATCATATATTTAAAATATTCTTTGCCTTACCTTTCCTTTCTCTGTACAAGTTGCTCTAATGCTTGAACCAAACTATGCTTGACAGAGCAACATATACACCCATTAGCAAGCTCAACCCATTCTTCAACAAGTGCACCGCCATCCCCTTCATTTATCATAGCCCTTTCCACCCCAATTTCCTCACCAAACTCATTCAAGATGACCGCGATCCTCTTCCCGTGTTGAGAATTCAAAATATAATTAACCAGCTGAAACAAACGATCGAACTCTTTCTTCATTCATTGGGTAATACCGTGAAAAATAGAAACTCAAAATGTTAACAAACAAGAACACACAAGAGCAACACCCCCCCCCCCCACAAAAAAAACCATAAGAAGAAAAAGAATAAGCAAGAAACAAAAGAAAACAAATCGAGAAAGAGAGGGGAAAATGTTTTACAACCCCTAATTTAAGGCTTAATTATAAGGTGCTTTCAAGTCCAAAAAATTAGTTGGAATTAGTCACTTTAACATTTACATTTCATTCCAAAGCATACTGTGTACATTCTAAGAAGATTTATTAATTGTGTAATCGGACAGTAAACTACGGTTTCCCCCAAAAAAAAAAAAATTGCAGAAGCACATAGATATAGATTAACCAGGTCACCAACGCACATAAAATGCCAAAATCTTACTATATAATGCGAAGGAAAAGATTAGGGCCACTGGGAGAGGCACAGGAAAGTAAAGGGGAAAAGCTTACAGTAGACTTGCCAGCTCCGAGATAGCCAGTGATGACGGTAACTCCAACTGAAGCTTTCGAGTCTGGGTCGAAATACTGAGACGTCGATTCATCTTGTTGAATCTGAACGGCTAGAGGTGGCCCTTCTTCTTCATCGTCCTCCATCCTCGACCCGATCATTTTGGTTCTAGTGCTGCAGGTTCCTCGTTATAAGAATTTTCGTCAATTTCCAAATTAGCGTTAATTTCTCCCCGCCCCCCAAAAAACGCACAGGTATTATGCAAGGAAATAGTAATATGAAAAATACTTGGATTGGGCTGGGCTTCAAATGGCCCAATTTACACTTTTCCTGCCATCGGCCCAATACACATATTTAGAACAACGTAGATGAATATGTGGGCCAGCCCAGGGCATTTCCGAAAATGTCCAAGGTTGAATTTTGGTTAGATAGTGATTTAAATATTTTTTACATGCGGAAGGTTCAAATCCTCCATTTAGTATTCAATAATATCTCAAATAGGTTACCTCTAATAGGAAGTTATATATGCTTAGCAAACTATAAAATTTATGTTTTAAAAAAATGATTAATTAATTAATTTATGAAAGATTCTGGACACTGTTATCTTTGTATCCTCTAGTATACCCTATTCCCCATGATGCCAAGTTATAAGAAGTCAAAAATATCTTTAATGCAAGTGCAAGAGATTACTTAAAATGATACTAGCTCTAGTCCTAATTATAAGACGAGGTCTTATAATTACTTAATTAGGACAGGAGGTGGTATTATTTTATAGCTAATAACACGAAAATTGCCAATCGAATGTAGTACTACTTAATGTTCACTTATCATGATAATAACTTGCGCGTAATTAATCGATGGCCACAATATCAATTTATGTAATTGATTAATGATGATAACATATTGAGCCGCCTGTTGTGACTTGCAATAAACAATCTCTGGCATTAATCAGTTAATACACGGTGCGTAATTGTGAGGCAAAAAAGAAATAAAAGGAAAAATAAGTGAAAACATTATAAGAAAACAGTAACTAATTTGTCCCCTTTTTTGCTTGCAAGAAAAAATATGTGTAGTTTGATTATTGATGCTTTTTTTTTTTCTCAATGCCTTTATATCATATATGATCTTTCTTCTAAAACTTAATGTGAGAGTTACTTAATTAATTCAAGTAAAATAAAAAGTTAAATAAATTAGTAAATCATAACAAATATAACATGGTCTTCATAAAACATTGCTAATGTAATATTAGACTATATGTCAATTTATAAGTTTGGTATGTTAAATAAAAAAATTATAAATATGAACAAAATCTAACACGTAACTTACTCCTACATTGAGAAGCACTAGTTTCCCATCCACTTTGCCTCCTTCGTAGAGCTAAAACAAACAATTTATATTTAACTATTCTTTTCTTACGTAGTTTAAAAGTTAAGATTTAATTTTATCCCAGAAATTTTTGCATATGAGATGTGGGTACGCGGGAGTTTTTGTTGGATCCACCATATCGTCCCAAAAATGTTAAAAAAAGAAGTAAGATTGCACAACTATTTAAAAACTAATGTTAACTATTAACATTAACATTTGTTATGACTAGGGGTGACATTGTCATTTTCTTAAAACTTTCAAGGCAATATTAATCCAACAAAAACTTTCAGATGCTCATAGCTCTTAGAGCGAAAACTTTTAAGACAAAATTGGACTTTAATCATGTAGTATATCAATAATTTTATGAAACGTATTAAATCAAAATCATTAATGGTTCATTTTTGGGATTAAAATTATGATCAGATCAGCCTCAAGTAGATAGTTCTAAACGCTTGACTTTGTGAAAGGAGCATTTATTTATTATTAGGAGAGGAAATTTGCTTACAAATTTCATCCTCAAGTACGTTGCCTCGCCAAATTTAGTGCATATCCATTGCCATCTCCATTGTGAATTGATAAATATTACTCCACTAGTTTTAAATATAAGATATATTTTATAGTATAAATTATATTTTACAATAGGTCTTATATTTAGGACCGGGAGAATACATTTTATGGTTTTCCTATATCAATATCAACATATATATATATAAATTATATATAGTTGTATTTATATACACACACATGTTAATAGGCATTTGTAATATTGCATGCGTGTACGTTAGTGTTAGAGTTGTCCTTCAAACAATGTAATTTCTAAATGCAAGTGGCAGCGTTTTATTGATAAGTATTAAGCGTAAAAGCTAGGAAACACTTGTATGTATAATAAACAAATTATGAAGACTAATATAAAGTTAGTCGTATTTATAAGACATACGTTTTCTCTGAGCTTGTGTTAATATTGGTAAGACTTTAAATCTTGATGAATGTAAAATATAATATAATTAAAACTATACTTTTTTTTTTTATTATACCACGAGTTTGAGCTTTGGACTCGTTCGTTCTTTTTTGGGCTACCTTCAGTTTTTGACTTGTAAAAATCCTTTAGTGTGGATGTAATTTTTTGCTTTTGTATTAAAAAAAACATGAGTTATGCAGGAAATCATGAAGAATATGAGAAGATGAGAATATAGGGACATTTTGAGTTGTAATATATACATTTTTAACGTAGGATTAACAATCAAATATTGTTGATTATTTTTATTTTAATTTCTAAACACTCATTTGCACGTCATGAATATGGGCTCCAAGGAAAGTAAATATATAAAATAAAATTTATAACAATGCATATCACTGACATTTATTTGTATGATTTGGTCTTTTCTATCCTAGATCATTATAAGATGCTTTCTATAAATTCTTTCATTTGATATATAATAACTTTATTTGTTGCAAAAGGGAGCCTTTTTATATTTTTTTTAACGCCTTTAGTTAAAAGCAATTTTAGAATGTTTATGATTTCTTTTTCAAAAAATCAAGACGATCAGTTAATTTTAAATAATTTTTTAAATTATGTCAATTGAATAAAAATATCTTATAAATAAGATTAAAAGAGTATGTTTTTAGATATGTTTCATTTTTAACTTGTCAAAAATGCATTTATTAAAAATATATTTATCCAACTTATTTTTTGTTAGAAATATACACCATCTCAGATCTTAAATATAAGAGCTAGTTACACATTTAATTTAATTTTTAATATAATATCCTAATCTAGTTTATTTTTCATATTTATTCATTTTTTCAAAATAATCTCTATGGTAATTGTACATGTTAAAGGGTTTTCATTCTAATGCACATGATTAACAAGGATATTTTAAGAGAAAAAATACTCATTTAATATAAATAATTAACTTGAATAATTTTTTTAATATTCACAAATTAGTTATCTAACTTTTATATTAAGGATTAAAGGTAAACTAAACATGTTTTTTTCCTATGCATATCACCATATGATCAATGAATAAGTTATATTATTTATAATATAAATAATATTATTTACTATAAACTTTAGATTATAGATTAATATTGATTTATCTCACTCAAATAGTGAATAATTGTAAAAAATCAATTTTAAATATATAGATAACTTAATTTTAAATATATATATGATTTTCTTGATTGAGTTAAGTAATGTATAACCAGCTAGAAAAACGTCGAAGCAAAGCAAACTAAAAGGAACCAGTAGGATGAGAGAAAAAATTAATTCATACAGAAGAAAGTGATGAGAACATGACACTAAATTACTAAAAATTAAAAAAACAAAATAATAATAATAATAATAAAGAACAGAAGAAAGTCCAAAAGAAAAGGCAATCCAACTGATGAAGCTTTCGAGTCTGAGTCAAAATACTGAGACGTCGATTCATCTTGTTGAATCTGAACGGCCAGAGGCGGCCCTTCTTCTTCATCGTCCTCCATCCTCGACCCGATCATTTTGGTTCCAGTGCCGCAGATTCCTTGTTCTGAGAATTTTCGTCTATTTCCAAAGAAGCTTTTACTTCTTTTGTTTTTTCCCACAAGCACAGGTATACAAGGAAACAATATGGAAAACACTTGTTGCCATCGGCCTAATCACACATTTACAAGAATGTAGATGAACTAGGTTGAATTTTGGCTAGATAGTAGTACTTTCGGTCTCTAATATAAGAGTTAACTATAAGATTCTAATATACTTTGTTTTTTATATTTATTCATTTTTTTTAAAGTAGTCCTTATAATAATGGTAGTTCTAACTAGTACATTTAATTAGCAAGAATATCTTAAGAAAGACAACAATTATTTTTTATAAATAACTAACTTAACTAATTTTTTTTATCTTACCCAAATTAGTTAACTAACTCTTATATTAAAGACCAGAAGTAGTAATTTAAATTTTTTACCATGTTTAAATGTGAGAGATACACACATTTAGTATCCGAAAATATCTTAACCATGATTGCCTCCAATAGAAGGTTAGGTATGCCATATGCCTAGCAAAATATAAAATTTATGTTCTGAAAAATTAAATAATTAATTCCTTTATGAAAGATTCCGGACATTGTTATCTTTGCATCCTTTAGTAATAGGATACCCTGTTCCCTATGATGCCGAGTTATAAGATGTCAAAAATATTTTTAATGCAAATATAACGTAGTACTGCTTAATTTTCACTTATCATAATAATAACTTACACGTAACTAATTAATGGACACAATATCAATTTATCTAATTGATTAATGATGATAACACATTGAGCCGCCTGATGTGACTTGTAATAAACAATTTATGGAATTCATCAATTAATACACGGTGTGTAACTGTGATGCAAAAAATAATAATAAAAGGAAAAATTAGTGAAAGCATCATATGAAAAAAAAAGAAGTGATATATGGTATAGTAATTAATTCGTCTCCTTTTTCACTTGCAAGAAAAAATATGTGTAGCTTGGTTATTGATGCTTGTTTTTTCTTTCCTCGATGCCTTTATATCGTATATGAGCTTTCTCTAAAACTTAATATCAGAGTTACTTAATTAATTTAACTAAAATAAAAAAGTTAGATATTTTAGTTAATTATAACAAAGATAACATAATCTTCATAAAATGCCGCTGTTGTAATATTAAATTATATATTAATTTATAAGTTTGGTAAGTTAAGTTAAAAAAATCATAAATATGAAAAACAAAATCCAGCACGCAGCTTACTCTTATATTGAGAAGTATTAATTTCCCATCCACTTTGCGTCCTTCATAGAGCTAAACCAAACAATTTGTATTTAACTATTCTTTTCTTATGTAGTTTAAGCGTTGAGATCTAATTT